ACGCAATGGGGACAGTGTTCTCCAACGTCAAGGCAAACTCGCTCAGAAGCAACTCAGAGCGTCTAACTCCTTCCATAGGTGTACTGATTAATTGAATAGATCGTTACCCTACTTTATCCGTAACTGATTCGGACCAACCACGCCTCAGATCGTTTCTTACTAAGAATAATAATAACCACTCGTAGTTTATTATATGCTACAATTTTTAACTGTCATCCCTGATTACTCACAAAACTCACTCACCAATCGTCATCCGTCGCAGAACATCTCTTCCATTTCGCCTGTTCGCCGAGCTAGGCAATGGGTTTGCAAACGTCTCATCACCAGCCGAGGGGACATCATCAGTGCCTGTGAAGTGGCAGTATTCTGCTTGCACCCGTTCGTTATTATGTGTTCTTCTCCACCGATTATTTTCTTCCTCTGTTCTCACTGTCTTCGACTCGGTTCGCCGTCGGACTGGTGCGAGGGGTTGAGGGTGGGAGGTTGTTCTTTGGTCCCAATTGCGGTTTCCGTCCGCTCTCAGGTCACAGCGTGACCTCCTTCAAACGTATCCCCAGGTCAACCGAATGTTGCTGGACTTTGTGTATTTCTCGATAGCGACCAACCACTGGCAATTCAATTTTGTTATGAGAACCATGTTTACGTCATTTCAGTTTTGTCCTTATGGTCTAGCTTAGCAATCACTCTCTTAGTAGACATACTTCAACAAAGGAAGTCTTTTGGTTAACAAGTCAAGTTTATTAATATATTTTTACACACTTCCGTCGGAGGCTATCATATCAACCGTTAGTAATAATGTAACGAAATGGTTTCGAACTACAATTTGGCAGTAACCCAACTTCATACCATGTCTCCTAACTTTCTTTATGACATAAAAGTCAAGAACAAACAAAAAACCCGCTAATTTCATGCACCAGTCCCAAAAGTCATACTTCTGCGCATTAGAACAAAGTTTAGCTATCTGCATGGTGATACAATTATTCTAAGTGAGTATTTGTCTTCGTTTTATCTATTCCCCCAACACAATCTGTAGGTTCACCCAATTCCAAGGTTAGTTCACATGAACATATGCTTTGATTTCGCTATCGTACATTTTCACAGCCGTTTTTTGAGCTTGTATTTTGTCTGTATCAGGCAATCTCCTTACACACTTCTAGGGTACACAACTCCCACGAAGATGGGCTGTGCTATATCGTATATAAGTAAATTAAAAACGGTTTGCTCAGCTGACTGAGTGTTTAGTATGTTGGCCTTCTGCCTGTGAGATCGTGGGTTCGATCCCCAGTTGGGTTGATGGATTCGCACTGCTGAGGCACAACCAAATCGAAACAGCTGTCCTGTGCTTCCTAGGTTTTCAGTTTACGTTTCATTTGCTCTTTACGTAATTAAATACATCATACGGCCAACTCCCTATTATTTTCGATCTACCATCACATGGCTAATGACTATTGGTTCCAGGATCTTCAAGACAAATGCTTTCTTTGTCTTCGAAAACTGGGCACGGGGCGTCGTGTGAATGCCGGAGATCACACGTACCATGAACGCTGCTTCAACTGCTTCAAGTGTGGCAAGTCATTGAAGTGAGTAGCAGAGCGCGATAATTATGTGAAACTTAAAATTTAGAAAAAACTGTGAAAATCAATCATATAAGCACAGCAAACACGATGTGTATCGGCAGGACGTGGTTTTATTTTTTCACACTTGTCCACGCTCGTTCTCCCACTGTGATCCCACCCCCCGTGAACATTGCACTTTAAAATTGCGAAAAGCGCGCCAAACCTACAGCTTTTCCTATCGAACTTTAACCGCAATCGGCAATGCTTTAGCCACGGCCCGTGGTCTCTTAGCTTCGACGCACAAACTCCAACCGTACAGCTGTAGGCAAACCAGATCAAAAAGAATGGTGTTTATTATCCTCGACCTGTTAATGTATACACTTCTCATAAACCAAATTCACTTTAAGTGGAGATACGGCACCGAAACATTCCTTTGTAAATGTATCATTTCGATGTTCTTCAGGGCTTTTGAATGCAACACAGTGTACCGGTTGTGTTTTATTTGAGATATTTTCACAGGAATAGCGCATTTTAGATTTCCTTCATAGTACTGTTTAGCGGCATTCCATTGGTCGGCAATGGAACCACAAAAGCACACCAAGAGAGGGGACAGTATAGTTTGTCCTACCTTCGTTACCGTCATACGCATCTACAGTATGGCGAACATTAAGTCGGATGGACAGAAAAGACCCCGTCGTTTCATCAGCGCAGAGGTGATGATTTGAAATAAGTTGCCAACGACCTCGGCATTAAGATCAAAGCGTGTCGTGCTATTACAGCCAAGGATTGGGATATAACACTCAAGCCTGGATCTTACAATCCGAAATTCAACGATGAGTGTACACAATAATTTTGTTATGTTGTCGATGACAACCCTACGATCACATTGAAGCAGTCAAAGTAAAGAATGGAGAGGAACTTCCTGGACATGTCGATCAGCAAGACTTCCATTCATCGCAATATGCCGATTGGTTACAGCGATCGAGTAACGCAACACAGAGGCTGTGTATTGACGAGAGCACCTACAAAATATGGTGTTTTCACCGCTTTGGACGCTCTAAAGTGGGTTGTGAAGCCGTTTGAGACCTCCCATCCGGAAAAACACTCAACCTGAACATGATAACATGTTCATCTGTTCCCGGTATCTTGAAATACGAATGTCATACAAAGATTAATTAGCATGGGTTTCTATGATGCGGCTCCAAGTTAATCGCTACTGAGCAACCAAATGATCTTTGGCAATGCGCTCGTTCATCGGAGGGCTTTTGATGCACAGTTACATGACAACCACAAAATCCGATTTCTTCCACCATACAGTCGTTTCTTCAACCTGCTGGAAGAGGTCTCCAGTAAACTCAAACAGGGAAGTGTTTTTAATTCGCTTATTATTTAACACACTGACAACATTGGAGATATACCATGTGGTTTGATAGTACGGGCGCATCGTTTAAACTTTTTCCAACCAATGTGGTGCAGTATTTGATACCATAACGACGGTTAACTGCGCAGTGTACGACAGTTAGGCCTTTTTACTTCGTAAGCAAGCTTTGCAATATCAACATTTGTGGAAAATAAAATGTCTCGATATTCGCTGATCTCAGAATATTCCGATACATTTGAATTTGACTCGCCTACAGTGCTATGACTAAAGTTTGTGCGTCGAGGCTAAAGGACCTCGGGTTTTAGCTAGAGGACTGCAGAATTTAGCTAAAGTTTGGTGTGAAAAGGTGTAGTAGCTTGGGCCGTTCGAAAAAGCTGTTGTGTTCAAAGTGGGTGTTTTTGGAAATAGAAACCACACAATATGTGGTAGGTAAATTGAACACCAATCATGTTTCATTAAGTAATTGTGTATGTTCACACATATTTGAGGGAAATCACGAAAAAAATGCCAATATCTCTTCCTTTTTTCAACCGACTACTTCATTCGTGACCAATATTCTTTCCGCAGTATATGGAGATATAAACTGGAAGACGGGCAACTTCTCTGCGACCCAAGATGTTTCTCGACGCCTTCCCCCATCAGTAGGTTCACTGATTTTCACCGCTTTTCTGCTTTTTACGCATTAAACTTAACCAGATACATCTGACAGATAAGAATCATCGGTACCCGACTGTTATTTTAACTTCACTAGGTTTGCATTGTACCCCATTGAATAATCACCATTTGATTTCATGAATGTAAGATGAAAAAGAGTGCTTGATTTGCTTGTTACAAGTACAATGGTTGTCAATTCGGTCTTCAGGAGCTGTCTCATTGACTTGAACCATTTGTTCCCAGTCTATCGTAGACCATGATAGTGGTACATTGTTTAGCCTCAAGGTTCTCACATTTATTCATTTGCCTTAGCTTCTTAGACAGATGATACCCATTTTCACTGCTCCCATTTGCATCATTCTTTGTTGTTTACTCTCTATTCTGGAACAGAGCACAGAAGCCTGTCGTTGGCCCCAGATCCTTTTCTTCGGCGAGGGCAATTAGTACGCGAGCTTTCTCTGCACTGATCGTTCTATCGCCGCTGATTTCTCTCTATCGCTGACTGTGCACGTTTTTCATCACTCACTCACCGCTTAACTGTTCCCCGGTTCCCTAATGACACTGTAATCATGATTCACCTGTCAAAATTTTAGAAGCTGAGCAAATTGTAAAAAAGGTAACAGAGAACTTGTTGTTATCCTTGATTGTGCCATTTTGATGCTTTGTTGCTGTATAAAACAAAATTGCGGTGTCGGTATTGCTGGCAGACAAAGGTTATGGTGGAAAGATAAATTTGTTCCTGGGGTGCAATAGGCGACCACAGAATTAGTCAAATATATGTCGCCACTATGGTATAGGAAACCAGAACAGTGCCGGGGCGTTGTCAGTTTCGAGCAGACAGAACATGATACACTGATGGAAGACTGACATAAAAACAGTGGGAATGGAGACATGATATCTATAAAGGAACACATTGAGTCACTGGGAATAGAGATCAACGATTTACAAAGCTGGGTTCGCAAATATCTGCAGGCATATTGCACTTCAGTCGCACATTGATCATCACGACCGGAATGTCATCCACATACACGATTTCCCGGCTAACCACTGTATAGTTGACTGAAGATAGACCACCGTGACTAGAAAGCACAAGACGCCTCTAGAAGTTGAAAGATGAAAGACGAGACCCAACAGTTGTTAGTAGCAGTTAGGCCATGTTTTGAAGCAATAAAAAGGATAAAATCGGTGTTATTTGTGTGTGTTATGCGTTCAGCAGAAATGCATGGTACTTTTGAACAGCAAATTACCGAAACGAACGTTCGAGGTGCTTGTGTGGTAAGTATCCGTGTGCTATCTGGTATGAGGTGAAGGAAACTCTGTGTTTGTGTCGGGGGGGGGGAGATTTATGTTCCGATAACAAAAAGCGATGTGAGAACTATGAACTGATCGAAAACATGATTAAACGGAAATTATTCTATTCTCTTTTTGTAACATCTGGTACAGAAAGTAAATATCACGTTTTTTTTTCTTGTTATTCCTATCCTTTTGTTATCGCATACAGTAGCAAATTTTATTCCATTTTTACCGGGGCCACTGTACAAACTATATTTTCGAAAGACGTACTCAGCAAGGATAATATGATTATGGAAAACAGGCATGGGGAAATGTGTACACAACTGCAAACTTACTACTCGGAAGTCATAGTAAGTAGACGCATCCCGAACGTGTAATTTCTCATCGTGTATCGAGCGAAATGCGTCCCTACCCAACGGCAAATCAGCAGGAGCTGAAATCTGACGATGGAGAATATTGATAAAACCGAAGCAATTATTTAACCGACAAGCCAAATGGTTTTCAATAATCATTCTGGGGAAACTAAACGAAAACGTGAATACAACTTTTCCAAAGGTCTGCTGGTCAACTGACGTGCTTGCGCATCTGGTAAGCGTCTAGCGAAACACACGAAACAAAATGAGGAATTCCTATGTAGTGGAATGATACAATACTCGAAGAAATAGATAATAGAAATAACCAAAAAGTAGTCTCGCAATGAATCTTACGAGGTTAATATAATCACAAGAGTTGGAACAAAAAATAAGAATGTCCAACACTTGTGAACAAGTACAGAAGGAATAAAATTACTACTGTTGCAATGTTTCAAATCGCTGGTGATAATCTTATGACTTGTCTAATTAAACATTTTATAGTGAATGCACAAATTAGGATATGATCGGAGCACGCAACCTACCACATATCCGGCACGAATTACTCGTCGACGGAATTCGTCATCCTCGGAACCCCAACCCCAAAAAGAGTTGGACATTCCATTCAGTCGGGTAAATTGTTTCCGGGTGATGATTAGGACACCACCAAAGTATTTCTCATACCAATAGTACCGGGGATGAAACCGTGCTGGTATGGGATGATAGGGTCCTTGGTCACCAGGCCATGTGTACCGGATGTGCGGGTCCACGGGTAACAGATCCACATCATGAAGAGCCACGTAGTCCGCGGGAGGAAGGTACAACTCGTCATCGGGTCGTTGCGAAAGCAGATGTTTTCCCGTATTCTGTTCTAGTTGGAAGGACTCCAAGAATCCGGCGTTGAGCAAGGCTCCCCTGTTGAAACTGAATCCGTTTGTTGAAACGAATTAGAAGACGAGTGAGTGAGTACCAACTCTGATGGTTGAGTCACAATGGAACAACAACAACAGAGAAAAGTGAAATACATACTAAAAACAGACATTCAATGTTGATCAAGTTTTATCACATGCAGTCATTCCTTTAAAAACGACTTCGATTCATTGGCTTATGCGAGACTGGGGTTATCGAAATCTAAACGTTGAATTCCTCTATCGCAATCAGAAGCAGCTCGTAGAGGGGTTTAACCCAGCCATTGTCACGAATGAAGAAATAAGGCGGTGCCACTCCCGAGGAGTGCATCAACAATCTACTGGAGGTCAAAACGCAGTACATGTCCTGTGCATAGTTTGATTGATTCCATACCGGATCAAGGACCACAAATAATCCGCAAAATAGTTTGCGGATCATCGAAAAACCCGTAGTTTCGCTTTCTAAACTTTGCTCTCAAAGTGACTATGGGCGATTTTTTAAATTACAATATACGGCTAGTTTGGTCCATTCGTTCATTGCTCCGGAATTCTGATAACGACTGCACCGAGGTTCAGTTCAGTTTTTATAAACATTAACCAAGCACTTTCGTGCGTCGGTTTTGGTTGCTATCTTGCGGTCACCTATTTGGATAGAAGAGCAGAATGAAGATTGGAATGTTCAGAGCAAATTCAATGCATATAGACTGGGGTTGCAATAATAATGAGTAGACGCATGGTTAGGGTTTTCATACTCTCGTCCCAGATCTTATTTTGACCACCACGACTGTCCGTAATATACGTACTGCCGTATTTACTTTATTGGCTTAGATCCACCCTTTGCCGTACAGATTCCGGCCTTTTACGATCAGCCAGATGGTTGGGTCACCAACTTGTGGCCTGGGAGTTCCGGGTTCGAACCGCTCCACCGCCGCCCGTCTTACCTATCACTGTATTTTCCCAGGCAGCCCTTGTTTGGCCGCAGCCACCTTCCTGAAAGTTGCCTGCATATTTTGTATGCCCATTGACTAAAAAAGAAAGTAAAAACATGAAAATAAAAGTTCGCGAAATTTTCTTGCATTGTGTAACTTTAAAAGACACCATACATTTTGGACTGTTAACAGTTCAGTATCCTTCGAACGCACACACGCGGACGGAAAATTTATATTTTTTACAGTGTACACTGAAACATCTAAGCCACGAGGCCACGTCGACAGCACTGCGAGCAGACCAGTGCTATGAGACTGGCCTCGTCTCTCAACACATAAGACTTTAACCTACCAACCAATGTGGCTTGAACACGTTAAGTATAGAGTGTATTGTTGTTATCCGTTAAACAAAAACTATGCAACGACATATCATCGCATGCACACACTATATGTGTATGAGGAAAGAGGGCTGCGCTATACATTTCCAAATACAGATTCCTCTGCACCTTTTTAATCTACACAGCGCACCACCAGTTGGATGAAATGTACAGGTTCCAAGTGATAGTTTGCTCTTTTCTATTAACCGTTCACTCACCGTAAATTATCGACTTGGTGCACGACATAAAAAGAATGCCGCACCTTTTGCTCATTCAAGAACTGACGCAAATGTGGTACCAAGAGTTGAAGCTCTCTCAAACGATCACGATAGGGAATGATAATTGCAAGGTGATGTCGGGAATCCGGTGCTCTCGACACAGAACTACGTGTATCCGATTGTCCGTCATTGGAAGAAAACCAAATCGACCACTCCAGGAGTAACAATAACACGGCACAACCCAGAAGGTAAGTCAATGCACGACGGACGACGGCCTGGGCAAGTAATGTCTACAGAGGAAATAGGATGAACACAAATGAAGAAGACAATTTAATAGGTGCTATAACTAACTTGGACAAAAATTGATATATCCAGAATTGATTAGAGCGAAAAACTGAAATTCTATTTTGGCGTTTCTAAGTGAATTCAGCTCGTTAAAACTTAAGCGTAAATATTGCTGTTCCAATTCCAAAAAACCAGCGCCTAGTCCAGAAGAGTTATTAATTCAGAGAACAGAACACAACAAGGGCAAATAACAAACGAAGGGTCTAATTTGCAACAGTTGATCAACACTTTCGTGAACGTCTCTTCATCGGTGATCGTCACTCTGAAAGACTGTTTGCCTCTTCTGTGGTTACCACAGTAAATCCTTTATGAACATCTAACAATCGCTACTAAGTGCGGGCACTAAAAACACTACCCAAAAATGCGAGTAGCACCTTAAACACCGCAGTATGATGAATAGTAGAATTGGAAGATCTTTTCAGTTATGGGCACCTGTCAGGATTGAGATTTGCTGGAGCGAAACATATAAAGCAGCGACATAAAAATCAAATACAAACATACATACCCATACAGTCAACCCATGAAAAATCGCATTTTTCAATATGTTCTCACTTTTCAGTAAACCCAATCCAACCGTATACGTAATAGCATAGGTCTTGACTGGGCAATGTCGCACTTCCTGATAATTCCTTACTTGATCTTTAACCGAGAACGGGTTGGATAACACACAAAATTGCGTTTGGCCAATGAAATTTCAACTAATGTGACATGCGTGACTGATTGGATAACTCAAGTGAGAAAGGCACGCAAACATCAGCAGTTCGAGCCCGTTATTTGGTGTAACAGTTTGAAAGTACCTATCCATTAGGGAGAAGTAGACTGTGTGGGAACTCCTGAATCATCCAGGTGCAACTCAGGGTTCTGTAGTAAAATCACTGTATTTCAGGAAAAATTGTTTCCGGTGGATTAACGTAGCGCACAATTAGTCTGGACGACACTTTTGCTGATTTCCGACGGAGAATCAAGCTAAGACAAACGATGATTAATGATTTGGCCACAAATAAATCCCTGCAATTTACAGATTTCGTTTGCAATACTGCGGGGACACTCGAGTGGTTATTTCGATGAAGCGGTCAGCAAAGCCGCTGCCATGAGTGCGTACGATTGGTCTTGATTATGGGAGCGACATTCTACTGATCGATTGGCTCTGCCAGACATATACAACAAAGCATGGTACCAACGCAAAACATTCAACTTCCCTGTTTTTCTCCTACTGCCTCATCCAAATAGACAGCAACCAAGACCAGAGTACAAAATTACACGGTTAATGGTTTTACAAACTGAAACTGAAGGTAAAACTGCCCGTGATTGAAGCTCGCTTTCATGACAACTGTTTCCCGGTCGGGGTAATTCAAGGGCCAAACAGCAGCTAATTTAACGAATACCATCTAGGTGATTAATCAAATTACATTGTTAGCCACTGAAGTGAATATGGAGACCAAAAGAATGCAGTTTTGAAATAGAAAAAATAATTGAAATATAACGAGAATCTATCCAGAATAGTATTTTCACTCTTTTATTCTCTGAACTGCGGTGTCCTAACTATGCTAGACAGGGAAACCCAGATGACGAACAAACCACGGATCATATTGTCGTCAGTTTCGTACACCTTAACCAAGATTAACTACCATGATTTGCCAATTTCTGCTGAAATTGTAATCAGCAGCATTAAAAGTTTATATTCATTGTTTAAACAGTCCCAAGGAGCACATCCTGTATATAGAACAAGCTCGTTTTCTGTGATTCGTGATGTCTTAGCATGACTCAGTTTCAGCTTGGACAAGCATTAACCATGCACTTTCATGGGCCGGTTTTGGTTGCCCATTTAGACGAAGGGGTAGAAGAAAGACTGGAAAGTTGAAAGCAATGTCAAAGAGAAAAAGGCCTATGGTAAGGAAAGTGCGATGTAGAGGCCTACTTTTTACAGCATTAAGCCATATCATTTAGTGTATCTAATCTTGTATTACAAAGATCCCGAGGTCCACAAGCACCCTTTGGTATGATTAAGAATCAGTGGGGATGATTTTATCCATCGCCTTGTTCTATTCATCTTCATCTTGTCAGCGTATTCACTTAGTGATTACATTTATACTGAGATAACCGATGGACTCCCATCATCGGTCTACACCAAAATACAGTGAAGCAAGATTCACTAAACCCACAATGCACATTAACTTGGTACTCAGAGACTTCATCCTTCGCAATCATCTCCTGCGAGATAAAAATCCAGCTTCCTGACTATCTCGAACGGCAGCTTTTCACGCTCGTTGGTCATTTAAGAGCTATTTCGTAAGAAGTATAGTGCAAAGGCATGCTCTGAGAAAAAGTGAATGAACCACTATGATTAGCGTACAAACAACACAAACTGTGCATAGACATTTGTTCGCCTAAATTTATCTGATAAGAAAAGAAAACAGGGACCGATGCTGTCGCCTTATGGTCCTCTTCTAGTGACTCCAACCAATTAACCTTTCGGACTACACTCTAGAACACGGATGATATTTATTCCACCACATCTCACAATCCCAATCTTTATGGTTCATTTTTATATCGTGTGGTGGTGGTGGCAGTCTGGTGACTGAATCTCACCACCGCCATTCGTCTTCAGACAGCTTTTGGTTGGCCGCAGACCCCTTCAAAAAAATGGATTGTGCAATAATAAATTTAATAAAAAGGAGTACAGCTGTACTTGTGCTTTTCTCAACCCAAGATCTGCCACAGAAAACAAGGCGCGGTTCAGCGGAACACTGCTGTCTGTGTACAATACGTGTCTCAACCAGTGAAACAATCAGATGTATTTTCTGTGGCAAAGAACTTCCCTCCCATACAGGATGGCTTAATTCGGTGCTGGGCTCTCTAGAGGCATCTTACATTTTTCAAACCACGTAAGCGCCGATGCTGGAAAAGCTTCGGTTGACTGATAACTCACGCGCTGAAGACCAGGGATTTTCAAACGTAAAGCAGAAATGGAGGCGCTGTTGCGCAGCATACGAGGCTCCTAAACTTTAATGAAATACCATACGGACAGCAAGAATCTGTAACTCTCCTCACATTCCATTCTTTCTCCTGCTTTTTTATCCACATGAGTAGTCATGAAATAGCAACCAAAACCGGCGTACGAAATTGCATGGTTAGTGGTTCTAAAAACTGAAACGCAACTTGAGCCCTGTAAAAATGCGTGTCAGTCTCTAAGGGTGGGACCAACATTCCCATGTACGAAAACAACTATAGGGTGGTCAAATTCTGATCATCAAACTAGAAAATAAATGTAGCGCAGTCATTGTGTAATCCTTGTTTGAAGACTGGAAGGATCGGTGATTCATCCTAGGATGAAAAACAGCACCTACGAGGGCATCATCTCCCATCTTGAAAGTAAGAAGCGAAATCGCACTCCATTAGAGTTTCAAGCGACACCACCTAAAAGAACTTGCTTCAACTGACAGAGTAACCACTCGAATACCAATAAAGAGGAAACCTTTGACAAAATACTCTGATCAGCCATTCAAACATTGCTCCTTATCATGAATGGTATACGAAATTGTATTGCAGATTGTTTCGCACAGGGGAATCTCCCGACCTCCAGTATTGTGTAGGAACAAACTTTGATTGATCCCTAAGCAATGGTTGCTTCCACCGGTTTTCACAATTTCTGAAAGCTTTCTATGCGTTTACGTTACAGACGCTATCCTTCCGTGTGCTGATCCAAGTAGATTGGAATCTATCGCTTTGGATGGATTAGAACCAGATATTCCTAAGTTTTTGAGTAGGTTCGGGATCCTAAGCAAAGTTAATTACCGAATCTAATTATATTTGTGCTCTCGGTTCGTACCTTGACCCTTCCTCATACAGAGTCCATACGGCCGGGTCACATAAATGATAAACTAAGAAAGTTTCTGATTTATCCTCGACCGCAA